ATATATTAATTAAATTTATATAAAATCTCATGCACAAACTCATAAAATTTAACCAATAAGAATGACCGAGTTAATTTAGCAGGAGATCTCCCAATTAATGAGTCCAAGTTCAAAACAATCTCAGACACAAACTTATAAAAATTCACTCACAAGACTGACAGAGTTAGTTGAACAGAAGATCTCCCAAATAAATTTTAAATTCAAACTCTCCTCCACATTTGCTCCACCGAACTCATCGTACGAAACTTTCGTAATGCAATTTACTTTTCCCGTATAATCCAAAGAATAGCAATTGCGGTTCGTCGTAATTAAGGAAAATGTCATAAAAAATCTAGTTTCCAAATTTGCTTATGTCTTAACAAAGCCGGTAAGCGAGCTGTCATTTTCCTGTCTATGAGTAAAAAGCCATAACTTTCCCGCTGTTTTCTACGCTACGTCAGCCCCACGTCCCTTTCTTCGCGCGTGAAACGCGTGACTTTAAACTTTTCTTTTTTATTTTCCGTCCGGTGTTCGTAATCTGCATTTGAGCTTTCACTAAATTCAAATAGCACACTATACGGTTCATACGAGAGTGACACTTCCAACAAATTTTTCTATATATCTAAAATTCACACTCAAGACTTCTAATTAAAGAATGAAACAGTTCCACTATTGTACCAGAATACGTGGTTTTAAACTTAGTTCACAAGAATTTAAGGAAAAAACAAAGACAGCTCTCCAAATGGAAGATTGTCTGTCTTGTTCTAACACGTCATGGTTGTGTATTGACTATTTTGCCCTTAGATATTGTCGGTGTTCATGTCCTTTTTGGGGTTTTTAAATTATTGCCCATTGTATTTAATTCCTTCTATTTATTTATATGTTCTTTGAAATTTAGGATTTAGCTTTAAGGCCCACTAAGAAATTTTAGATCTTTTTTTTTGTGTGGTTTGAAAGATTTGTAATATTTGCGGTCTTTTTCTTTACATTTTAAGTGTCAAATACTCAAATTCAATAATGGGTTTGTGGATTAGTGGCCTAGCGGGTTCGAGAGAATCAATATTTCGAGGTTTTCAATCTAATATACACGTGTTAAAGAAAATTTAAGATTACATTATAAATTTGTTATTTTAATATGTGAATTATGATGTCTTAATTCTGAATCTACCTAAGTAGCGGTTAGAATGTCACGAGTTTTGAGATTTGTGATATTTGTCATTTCAAATGTGATCTCTTATGAATTGTTACGTATATGTAGATATTTGTGGTCTTATTTCATATCAGTTGGTAAATTCAATTATGAATTCGCGAATTGATTAGTGGCTTAGCAAGTTTGAGAGAATCAATATTTCGAGGTTCAACCTTACGTTTGCTAACGAAAGCAAAGACAAAATTAAATATACATTTTAGGATTTATTCTTTTAAATCGTAGTTTTTATCATCAAAATTATGAACAGGTCATTGGCAATCATACTCACAACTCATAAGTTTTCAGACACTGAAAATTCGATGTTCAACCTTACATTCATGTGCTAAAGTAAATAAAAAATAAAACTTAAAATATGTTTTAGGAATCATTATTTTAAAGCGTAATTCATTTCGTAAAAATTCTAAATCTGTCACTAGCAATCAAAACTCACAAGTTTCGAGATGTTATAATATTTGTCATTTCAAACGTGATTTCTTGATTATTTAGTTGTTGAATATTAGATCTTTTGGACAATGCACTAGACCTACAAAAGAATTTTAGGCTGACTTTTTAATCTCTATTGGAAACCTTTAGGTATATTTATTTTTAATTTAATGAATAAGAAAATATTATCCCAAGTTGTGGATTAGGAGAACTTTTGTCTTTTTTTATATCTTCTTTTTATGAATGGTATTTTGGACGGCAAAGAGAGAATTACTATGCTTTAATTTGATATTAAATTAATTACTTTTCATGTCACTACATGTTTATGGGTCCATCTTAAATGTTTAATCCAAAGTAAAATAGATTATAAAACACATGAGTTTTGTTGTTTCTCGTAAAACATATGTGTGTTTTGATTCAGTATTTATAGTGAGGCTTGATTAAATTTAAATATGCATTAGATGTTAGATATTTTCATATTAGAGTAAAGCATTTCTAACAAGATGATTTCATATTTAGTGTTTGAATCTGAACCTGAAGTTCAGTACGAAAGAATACTTATCAGTCAAATGTTATTCTTATTGGTAGGTATGTGTATATTCCTCTTAACTAGATAATTAAACATCTTTTAAACTTTAAAATAGTGTAATAATACAAATAATTGTTGTAACTCTGGCCCATAATAAATGCAGAGATCTCATGATCTTGAAATCATGGGTTCGACTTTATTTCTGTGTAACAAATATCTGTTTATAATTGTACTCTTAGTAGGTTGTATTCTTTTATTATTTGGAAATTTAAAAAATGTTTATAATTTGACATTATAAAAATAATTCAAATTATAAAAATAATTTTTAAAAAAGTACTACATCACTATTGCACTTGCTAGCTTGTCAATGCGAGTCATTAATCTTTGCTAAGTGCCAAACTTACCAACACAATATATTTAGTATAGTTTCATAATTAGTGTCTAGAAAAGATAAATCGTACATAGATCGTATTTTATAAGGTAAAAAAGTGATTTTTGATAGATTATCCGCTCAAGAAAATTATCTTTATTAAAATATAATTTTAAAAAAATGTTAGAGTAAAATATTATGATGAAAATATTAAAGGAAAAAGAATACGAATATAAAAAAAAACCAAAGTATAAAGAAACATTAACAATTAAATTGAAACATAAGATAATGCTAGCATATTAACAGTAATACTAGCTAGTAAGGAATTAAAGAGACAATGCTCTACTCTATCCCTATGAAAAAGAGAAAACACTTTATCTGGGGTACTCATGTCTCCAGTGAGTTGAAGATGTGTCATATCATGTTTAATTAATCTCATTTCTTCAATTCTTTCTCGGTCTACCTAGACCTATCCCTTAAGTCTATCATCGTCAATCTCTTGCGCCTTCTCATGACTAGGTCATGTGCTTTTCCTGTTCTTGACTTTCCGAACCCACATCCATCCACCACTATGGAGGCTATTCCCCACCTTGCTCTATATATTTTTGTTCCTAATCTTGTCTCTTATAATCTGTCACACTCTTCCATCTAAGCATCCTCATTTATGCTACGTTTCATCTTCCAAACACGCGAATTCTTGACTAACTCTCCCTTGTACAACATAGTCAGCGTAATAACCATTTTATAGAACTTACTTTCATGTCTCATTGACACGTTTTTATTGCTTAGGCACCACTACTAAAAAAGTAGGATTTAGCTAGCGATGGACAAATTTTATAGCTAATTAGTAAAATTCGTCGTTGATTCTATATAGAGATATAATTTTGTAATTTTGTTAGCTACATGTAGATTAACAATAGATTAGCGATGAAGTTCGTAGCTAATTTCAATTTTTATTTGTAGTGATCAGATACGAACCTTCATTTCATCCATCCGACTTCAATACAATGTGTGACATCCTCATCAATCTCCTCATTCCATTGAATTATAGACCCAAAATACACAAAGAAGTGGGCAAACTTACCATAAAAGAAAAATACTGCTCTACTATAATATTGTAATTTTGGGAACCAGAAATTGAAAATAAAAAATTCATGCAAATGACATCTTTCTTATTACTTGAGGTGGACATCATAACATAAAAGCAATTGCTTTAGTAATTAGTAAGGGAAAATGTAATTAAAAAGATGAGTTGATATTAGCCTTCTAACCCACATGTTAATATTTTATTGACTTGACTTGACATTTGACAAGTGAAATTTATCATGAAAATAGTGAAATTAAAATTTGAGATGTGACTTTAAGATTCTTCAACTTTTACTCTTCTTTCTATTTTTTTATATATATAATAAATAAATAAATAAATGTTTTGTTTTCTATCAATGTCATATCGTAGAGGTTAAGATGTATATTTTATAATTATGCATGCAATTAATATATCTATTTAGTGGCAATTAAATATGTCATAAGAGAAGAAAAATTAAGACTTCTCTTTTTGTTTTTATTCCAAAATAATTCATGGTTGTTAATAAATCCCATTAGCTAATTTCTTTTGATTATTTTCTTTAAACTTGATGTTATGAATTCAACAAAATAGTGAAATATCAACTACCTCCCCCTAACCCCCACCCCACCCCTACCCCCACCCTCACCCGCACCCGCAAAAACATGAGTTTTTTTCTTCTTCTGAAATTTAACCTATATATACTGACAGTGTAGCTCTTTTAATATTATATGTGTGATCGAACTTATAGTTATTGTTTTTTATCTATCAATTAGTAATATTTATCGAAAAAAGTTACTTATAATTATTATTATAAGTTATAACTTAATTTTATAATATAATTTGTATACTATTTACACAGAGAACTTAAAAATCACTGTTTTATAGTTGGAAGTTCACTGTCTATTCATATGATTTTATAAACTTTAGTAGGAATATGTCGTTTTCTCTATAGTTAGATTCTCTCTTTCTTCTCTTTTGTTTTCTTTGAAAAAAATATCATTTTTGCTTAAAAATTCAAAGCCACGTATGATGAAAAGAATTAGGTAATGGTTATTTGTGTATATAATTAGTATTTACTTATTGGTATATTATTCATATATTAATAAATTTCATGGAGCCTACTTTAAATTTTTTTTAATCCTTTTTGAGTTTGAAGGCTAGAAGTATTAAGTGCATTTCTTACTTATTTTTTTCATTCAAAATAAAGTATAGTTGCAAGACTAGTACTTGACGGCTCACTAGCAACATATATATAGATGCCCATATATATATATATATATAAATGTAAATTCGATCATTCAGTGTTTAGATATAAAGTTTGCAAGGGGAAAAGGCTAACCAAATGTGAAATAAAGGCAGTGAACATAAAATGCAGCTAATTTTTTGTCCAATATTCAACCCAAAACAAAACCTAAACAGAGTCTATGTAAGGTTTATGTAATAACCAAAAAACATAATTCTGTTAATTTTATCAAGTTGTAACTTGTAAATATCCAACACAATGATCTCTACCAGATTCTAGTGATACGTTTTCAACATTTGATTCGCGTTAAAACGTATATAAACAAATTTACAGGTAAATCACATTCATGTTGCAACTGCTGTTACTTCTCCTCTCCATAGACTGAACGAAAATATCTCGTCCTCAGCATGTCATATTTGAACCCCCAGCAAAGTTCATAACCTGAAAAATGAGAAAAGAAAAGTGTAGGCAAGTTAGCAATCCCTAGTTTCCCAAAGAAGAATTCATCAAGTCTAGACTATGTTGCTCGGACTCTTCAAAAATACCACCGGATCCTCCAAAGCTTGTGCATTTTTCGAGGATTCGAGGTGGGTGTGTCAGCATTTTTGGAGAGCGAGCAACATAGGGTGTAGGGAGGGGAGGCTATTTGGATACTTTTGTAAGATAAATGTATTAATGAGGTGAGAGAGAATCTCAGTATATAAGTGGTTCACAAAAAAGTAGGTAACTTATAAAAACAATATGGTTTTCTACAACTTTATGACTTAAGACTTCATCCTACTTAAGACTATCTAGATTTCAAGACACCATTCCAACTTAAATTCCCAGACATGAGATAAAATCTAGACAAATATCGAAAAAGAAAGCCAGAAATGTAGTAGAGCTGCGTTTTTTTCTTTTATAGGCTAAGGTCAAGTAAACGTATATTCATTCATAAACAAGGTCAAAGACTTGGCAGTATGTAAGGGCATACCAAAAGGAAAGAAACTACAAAATGTAATGATTCTCTACGTCCACCCAATCTTCACTGCAATTGAGAACTCTATGGGTGCACCAAAAGAAAATAAGGGATCAGAGACTATTGTAGTCTCTACTGAGAAAAACTCGACTTTACTCCCTCAAAGCATTCATATTTCTCTCCCTCCAGACCACCCATATTAATTCTAGAGGAACTACGTTCCATGCTCTATGTCTTCTCCTTTTTCTCATGCCCTTCCAACTGAGCAACGATTCTTTCAGTTTCACAGTTCTTGGTGTAGCCCAAGAAGTACCAAACCACCTAACATATTCCACCAAAACCTCATGGAAAGACCACACTGAAGAAGAAGCTGATCCCTGTCTCTCCCGCCTCCGTACACATATAACACCAGCTGACGCAGACAACCTTCCGCTTTCTAAGATTTTCCGCCATCAGATCACCCCTCAAGTAGCTAGCCAAGTGAAAAAACACACCTTCGCCAACACCTTAAGTATTCATATTGCGTTACAAGGGAAAGCTTCCTCTTCCCTACCCAAAAGTTTCTCATGAAAAGTCTTAATTGAGAACATACCATTCACCCCAAACCCCACCACCACAAAGCATCGGGTTTATTGACCCACTATAACTTGCTTAGAGAGTAGGGCTAACAATCTTTGAAACTCAGACACCTCCCAATCGCAGAAGTTGTGACCCCCTAATTTGTTGTATCGTCAAGTCCCTTTTGGCAAGATAGAGGCAATAGACCTGACATATTTTTCAGATTTGAATTTCTACTACATTTTATGTAGAGTTATAGCTGCCAAACTAATAATCAGGCAGTAATTAATTAATTATGCAACCACTAAGTAGTTATTAATAACAAAAACATCTGTCATTGGTTTCCAGAAAACTATTTGGGTTGTCTTTTTAAAACAAGATGAATGTTCAAACAAAACAAAGTTTATGTACGTCAATCCAATCTTGTTTCCATTCATCATACATTCTGAGGAAGAAATAATGATCTATTTTGAAAAAATAAATATTACATAACTTCTAAAATCAAATGGGATTGGTTCAGTTAATTGGTCTCTATTTGAAAGTATCAACAGGGTTTTTTCATTCAAACAAGGGAAGTGTATGATTATATTTCTTGACCTTTTATTCAGCGAGACCAACAATAGACAATGATGATAACCCCATTGTAACATCCCCAAATTTAATAACGAAACAGCAATCCTTAAAGGCAATAAACAAGGAGAACCGCAAAACAAAAATTCACTGAAGAAAAAAAAGAAAACTTCCCTTTACAGGCGGCATGACTTACATTCAAAGATGAAATGCTGAGGACAGATGCCAGGTAAATGCTTAAATAGAAGACTTAATTCTGAGCTGAACTTGCAGCAGAAGCTGTTGAGTTTCTGTTCAATCCATTTCCAATATGAGTACCCATATTACCATGGTCTCTTTGGAGTGTGTGTGAAGAATCCACTATATTAGTAACTGCTGAAACAGAGCCAGCTCTACTATTTTCTCGAGTTTCCAGACGTTCCATCAGGTGAGATAGACTAGCAATTCCAGCATTTGACTCTCTCCTAACAGGACCAGCATCCGGCATTGAAGAACTTCGAGAAAACAATCTCTCCTTCCACCCTCGTGTATTCTTTGAGATTGATTCTTTATATCTGGAGCACAAGACCATATATAGCACGCACCAGGCTTAAGATGACCCCAAAAAGACATAAAATAAGTACAACTGCTAATATTAAGAATAAAAGTAATTGAGTGAAGTCATTCATACTTCATAGACATAGAACTAAATCGAGATCTCCAGGACTCTGAAAATGACTGCAACTCTGATGGTCCAGCTCTCCTATGGATTGGTGTAAAGGATGAACTAGAAGAGCTTCCAGAAAGACAGAAAACCCAAAAACAAATGAGAGCTAATTTAAAAAATCTGCATGAGTTACCAATCCAACCCATCATAAACCAATTTAAGATAAAGCCCAGGTGTGCATAAAATTGGAAGGATGTCGAAAACCATAACTACCTATCACCACTAGATATTCCTTGTGTTGTGGCAGGCGTTAGAACAGAACCAGATGATAAAGCAGAAAGTTGATCACTTTGAACTGATGAAAGGTGAGGCATCTGTCGTGGTGAATCACTGCTACCGGAGCTAATGGGAAGAGGGGAATCAACTGTTGTGGTTGCAGCAGGATCAGAAATTGATCCAGTAGGATAAGGTGAAACAGAAGTGGTAGGAGATGAATTATGATGAGTTGGAAATACTAAAAGTTGTGGACGGTGATTGGTGGATGAGCGATTTCTTGAGCCCTCCCTTCGACCCGCATGGTGAGCTCTTCCCATTGAAGCAGCAACAGCCAAATGCTGAAGAATGCGCTCTTCAAGGTCAGGATCATCAATATCCACAGGTAACTGGAGCGCCATGAATGAAGAATAAATAGAGGTAAACACAACATGCTAGCTTGTGAAACTTCAGAAATCAGATGAAAAAAGAAAAATGCTTATCCTTTAAGGCAGCCACACACATGCTGTAGTTCAAAATCTCCCAGCGCAGGAAAGTGAAATAGTGTAGCATTTCTTTCTGCATTAACTCTAAAATTCCTTTCTTGTTCCACAGCCTCAAACAATTCTTGACTGAAAGAGGGAAGTCAACTAATGTCAAGTAAGGGCTATACCAGTGAATCATAATCATAAAAATTATGAACTGAAATAAATGAAGCCACAGAAACCTCATCTGATCTTTCAGACTTATGGACTGCCAACACATAGGACAATTAGAACTTCTCTGACACCTGTTTTAAAAAAAATTAAACTAATTAGATTGTTTACTTCAATGTTCATCATGACTAGTATAGTCCCTAAATCATGTCCTTCTCATGTTCCAGAATAAACATCCAGTCTATAAGCCAAACCCATTAAACAACCCCACCCAAAATAAAGGATTATTTACCTCTTCAACCTAGAATACCAAGAAATATTTATAACTTTAATTGTAAAGCAGAGTGTATCTGTGCGCGGGGGGGTTGTATTCCATCTCTACAGCATCAATAAAGACAATAGCCTCTTAACTGTATCTCTACAGGATATCTAAAAGAAAAATCACTGGTTCATAAAATGGAGGGGAGGGAAATAACTTTTGAGACACATAATTTCACGAAAGGCATACAATGCATTTTGTAAACACAACTACCAATTTCATTTATTGGCAATGATTTTTAGGTCTGTCATTATATTTGATAAACCGAAGAGGTAATTAATTAATTCCTACCAATATGGTAACAAGTAATACAAAAGCTCAACATTGACTTCCAATAAGTCTATCCAAATGGCTGTTCAAGTAGGACCGCTTAATACAGAATTATACTGAACACTATATGCCTCATGCTTGCTTCTCCACTCCGTCAAACCTTTTGTTCCTTACTACAATACATCCAAAAAGCGCCCACAAGAGCTATCAGCATGCCTTCCATCGCTCTTTACCCTGTCCAATCTCAATGTCGCTAGCATTTCCTTATGTGTTTGTTAAAACCCAAGCGATGTGGAACTAAGAATACATAAGGCTCTGCAAACTCACAGTATTGAAGTAAATGGTTTAATCCCCTCTATGTTTTTTGCACGTGCAACACCAACTACGCATCCCAGTTTCCTTACCTGGTGAAACTGGATCGCGTGCAGCACATGTGAAGGAAGTAATCTTTGTGGGAGCCTTGGTATTCAACATATAGCCGACTCTAACTATCTTGAGATCAAGAGATAGTAGTAGTAGTTTTTTTCATTTTCTTTCTCATAATGGCAGTATCACGGCCAACTTGCGTGCACTTCAACTATTTTGTTTTCTGAAAGCAAGCAATATCCTAAACAAAACTGGTGCAAAAACTATGTGATAAAGAATATACAGCATTGAGTAACTACTACTAAAAGATGGTTGGAAAAGGAAAAAAAAAAAGAGCCAGTGCCATATGCCAACAACAATAACAACCACCCTTTTGACCCAAAAAAGAAATAATAACAACCACCAATAGACTCACTGGTGTCAAGTTCCACCAATCATCTTTCAAAGACAACTTGATACAACCCAAGGATAACCACCCCCCAAAAGCTAGTTATCGAGGTGGGAGAACCCAAGGCTATATAAGCCACACATCAGCTCCCCATTAAATTGATATACAACACAAGGATAACCACACCCCAAAAGCAGCTACTGCGGTGGGAGAGCCCAAGGCTATATAAGCCCCATGTCAACTCCCAATCAAACAGATGTGGGACTAAAGTCCATAGCAATAGAATCATAACACCACTTCAATTCTTTTATCAGATTTCTCTTCTTCTCTAGTACCTTGCAATAGGATCATAGGTGTGTGTGTACATAATACACTTCTCCCTCGTTAGGTAACATTGATTTTCAAAGTTGTGACATATAATTTGCTCAAATATGATCTACTTTCCCTGGCTCATCTTGCGACTAGTTAAAGGAACAACTTTCTCACCTGTCTATTTGCTATTCAATCTCATATTTTGTTACAAACATCATCCCCGCCCCCATAAAAGGAAAAAGAGCAAAATACACAATAGCAATCTAATTCAATTGTTGCCCTCTCTGGGTCAGTTGATCTTAAATACCTCACTAATATTTTACTTGCCTAACAAAAATCGGAATAGCAAATTGATATCCTCGAAATCAACGGAGATAGTAAAGACAGAATTTTTACAGATACATACCATTCCAGGACGCACTGGAGATGAAACTCATGCTTGCAGCTAGTTACCTACAGAAGAAAAAACCAGATATATTACACACTATCAAAGTCACTATGATAACAGAGTAACATAACATTACTAATATCAAACATTTAACTACAGGCAGTCTTTAGCATTCACCGAGGGAGGATCGCTTTCGCAGAAAGCCTCGAGACAAATGCTGCAAGCATCATCACATGCATCCTGAATTCCTCCTTCCACAAAAGCTGCAGGTGATGTCATATGACCCTCTGATTTCTTGACCTCATCCATTCCCAAAAACCTTACAAACCTAACAAATCCCCAATAAGAAGTCCAATTTCAGATCTCACAACACAAACTAGCCTCCTCTAAAAGCTAAAAATTTGGAGAAACAAATCCCAAACTAGAAAAAAGAAAAACTATTTTCTTATTTCAACTAAAATATAATCAAAGAAATGCAAATTTCTTAGCTCTTATTCCCAACAAGATCACCCATATTGATACTTTCAACAAACATGGGCAATTTCTTAATCCAACAATATCACCATATACATATTTTAATTCTACAAATACACTCACAAACAAAAAAATGGGGAATCTTTAGTTTCCCCAAACAAACATAAATCCCAATAAAAATTCAAACTTTAAACACAAACAATCTAAAATCTCGCCTATTAACATTCAGTACTACAAAAACACCCTGAAAACACCAAAATTTGCAATTCAAACAGAAAAAGAACTCTAATTTCGAACAAAATACATAGAATTTCAAGTCGCATTTCGCATTATTAGGATTTTTTTACCTGTTATGGATTTAGAAAAAGGCTCCGGAAATTGGGTGAAGAAGAAAACTAATTGTTGAACCGGTAAGGTCCCTTTCAGGAACCTAGAAATTAGAGAAGACAAAGAAAGAGGAGAATATATCTATAAAATAGTGAAATGGAGGTCACGTTTAGCTTTTACTACCTTTAATTTGCTTTGCCATACCACCATTAGAAAAAAATAAAAATAAAATATATATATATATATAATTTTGGTGTCCGAAATAATTTTGTGTGCGTTTTGATTAATTCTAGAGATATCAGATAACTTTATTCATTAATATAAGTATTGAACTTTCTGGCATAGATATCAGGTAACATTATTCAGACTTTGATAGATGAAAATATTATGCAAAAGGAAAACTAAGAACACAACAATATAATTTAAATAGATTTATTTTTTTATAAAAATAAAAAAATTAAGATAAAATTTTAGAAAGGAAATTGCTTAGTTTTTCTTCTCACCAATTGAAACATGTATTATTAATTGATTACGTAAAATTTTAATTTTGGTATTCTTATAATAATTAGTTAGATAATAGTGTTCTTTTGGGAACGTTTGATAAAATTGAAATGATATAAAAAAGATTAATATGTTCATGCATAAGAACGACACATAAATTTAGAGGTTGTTTAATTTTTATTTATAAAAAAATAGTTAGTTAGGTGTTAGGATCGTATTAGATAATCAGTCTTTAACTACTTTCAAAGAGAATAAGTTTTAGACAAAATTTAAATTCTCTATCATTTTGAAGGGCAATAGATTAACTTAAAAAGAAAAAAGGAAGACACAAATTACATATAAAATATTCATATGGAAAGAAAAATTTGTATGCTCGATCTCTTTATTATTTATTTTTTGTAGGTGGAGGAAGTCAAGGGAGATATAAAGAAAATAATACAGTTAGCCGTGTAAATAGGAGCGGAATGAATGAAATGAAAATTCGAATTTGGTGTCTAGTGTAATAAGAAAGTGTCATCAAATTTATAAAGTGATAGTCAGATCTGTTATGTTGTATGATGGGAGTGTTTGTAGTCAAGAACTTGCATGTCCAGAAGATGAGAATAGCGGAAAGGGGGATGTTGAGATGGATGTGTGGCATATTAGGAGAGAAAAGGTTAGAAATGAAGTTGTTCGGAATAAGGTGGGAGTGACCTCTATAATTGACAAGATGAGGGAGGCGAGACTAAGATGGTTCGGATATGTGAAGAGAAGATGCACAGATACCCCAGTGATAAAGTGTGAGAGATTGGCTATAGTGGGTATATTAGAAGAGGTAAAGACGAAATCGAAGAAGTCTTGGGGAGGTGAATTAGACAAACATGACATGCTTGTAACTTATCGAGGACATAACTCTAGATAGAAAGATATGAAGGTCAAGGATTAAGGTAAAATATTAGTAAGTAGTTGTACATTGTCTAACTCCCCTACAAGTATTGTTATAAATACTCTCTTAGAATTTTTAGATTTTAATACTATTTGTTGTTTCATTTACTTCCGTGATCGTATTGTTTACTTTTGTTATAGTGTTCTTTTCTTCATTGTTTTCAGTATGGCTTCTTCCGCTTAATTAAAGAAAATTTTAAATGAAAAAAATACACATTCTATCTTCTCATAGTATCAATTTATGATACTAGGTCTTGCTAATCATATCTATGATTTCGATAATTTTAATTTCAGTATGTTTATCATTATATGAAATGAAATAAAAAAAAAATTATGTCTTTTATTTTGTACGTGTTAATTTTTCATTCATTGACATTGTAATTATATGTGTTGAATTGACAAGTAATAAAAGATAAAAATTAAGTAACACAAAGAATTTAAAAATCATGTTAGTTAGCTTTTTCAAGAAAACCTAAACTCATTAAAAAGTAGGAAAAATTATGCACATTAATAAGTATTTAAAGTTTAAACCATATTAAATGATATAACTATTGTTTAGGGAAATTCAAATTCGCATCTATTGTTTCGTCATATATTTTTTTTCCTAACTTGTATAATTTGCCTGATTAGTATGATTCGCCGATTTGTATAAATTCGTTAATTTGTAGAATTTGATTTTGGATTGTACAAATTCAAAAAAATTTATATGCTGACCCTATCCATTTGTATACGATTAATGAATTCATAATGAATTACCATGTTTATATATTGACAAATAAAATATACAAACAAAGTTCTGAAAAAATTCTGAAATGTATAAATACAAAAAATTTATATACTTACCCTATTTGTATATTCGCAAGCGAAATATACAAACGGATAGAAATATACAACTGCAACCTCCATAGCAAAAGGAACTATAGCTATGAACACAATTATCGAAACAATATTTATAGAGTTTTATTAAGTCTATTATGCTTACTATTTCTGAAAATTTCTCTTAAAATTATACCTCTACAAGTCCTGGGCTTAAAAGTTGGCCCAAAAAAATTTGTCCTACACTGAATTACCCACACATATATTAGGCCTTCTAATGGGCTTTTCATCCAAAAGAAAATATGTTTCTTTCTTTTGTGTCAATCTGAATTTAGAGGTGGATTAAAAAAAGGGAAAATTAGCAAACTAGTCAAAAAATCTAACTTAATTAGTAAAAACCTCCATACTTTATAAATATTAGTAAAAATGTCATTATTTTAGAAAATATTGTGTATCCTAATTTACTTCCTATTTTGTCTCACCTTAATTACACATTTTTCAACTCTCTCTCATATTTTTTAAAAATATATATTCTCTCTCTCAAATTTACCTCTTCCAATTATTTTCCATTTTTCAACTCCCTCCGGTTATTTTTGGTATTTTTTTTAAAAAAAATTGGAAAATATATTTCTAAAGATATTCATAACAATCCTTTGATTAAGGTATGCATCTTTTGTATTTTATATGCTCATTTTATCATTCAAATTAAAATTGAATATCATATTGAGGTAAAAAATTTACTGTGATCAATTTGTATTTAACTCTCACATTGTATACAGACAAGTTTGTATTTCTTTTTAATTTTTGCATTCATTATAATGATAATCTAACAAAGACATTTTTGTATTTCAATTGTAGTTAGTATTTATTGTGCTCATTTTTGTGTTTTAATATCAATTTCAATGACAACAAGCGTGTATTTCTTTTTTACTATGTTTTCATCATAATTGTATCCCAACAACTTTTGTATATTATGTGCTCACTTTACCATTCAAATTAAAATTGATATTTTACTTTCATAGTAAAAACTAAAAATCGTATCTCAGTGAATAAAATTGTATTACATATCTGCCAAATATATTTTTCTATTATTTGTATTACAAAAATATTAGTGATTGTATCTCAATATAATCCAATCATTACATATGAATACGATTTAAGAAAGGATACAAGATTCTGGAAAAAGTAGCATACAAAGTGGAAATAATACAATCAGTTGAGGAAGGATGTCATATTCTAAAAAAAATACAAATTTAATGTGAAAAGAAATATGATATATTTATACTTAAGAAATACAATCCATTTGGCATACGTATTGAGAGGACTACAAACTAAAAAAGAAATACAATATTCATAATAAAAATATAAATGTTGAGTAAAAGAAAAACAATTGACAAACAAAAATTAATATGAATACAATTCTGGTATAAATATAATTTTTGCAACCTTCTTTCTTTGACTCTCTCTATCTTCTTCGTCTGCTATGTTTCTCTTTTTTTTATATTATTTTTCTCCAAATCCAAATCCAAATCTGTATTCACTTGTGCATTTGTAAAAAACTCTACCTCGTCATCCAAAAAAATTATAATTACCCAAGAAAATGAAAAAACGTTCATGTCAAAACTTCCAAACAAATTAATGATTCAACAGTTAACGAATACTTGATCGATTGTATTTCACCGATTATATCGAACTTCCAATTGAAAATTCCTTCTCCAAAGTTGTTTGTCAACGAAATTATCCCATTTTCAAAATCTTCTTGTCAAATAGAAAAAAATGCAAATTTAATCGAATTCACTTCAACAAAGAGGATTTTGGTATCGCATTCTCTGCCAATATAGGATAGTTGATGATCGTGAGGACGAAGCTGAATTTTTCCACCATAGCTACACATTAGCTTAACCTTTTGATTTTCCATTGCTGCCACCATCAAATTCATGCGAGAATGATGAAGAAGACAGAGGATTTGTTTTTTTGGGGATTTTTTTTTAGATTTTATTTTTTATAAAGATGAGAGATATTAAGTGATATGTTTCTTTTATAAAATATTGAATTTGTAACTGATGAGTATTTTAAGTGATATTTTAAAAATATTCTCTCCCCTAAATTTCTCCTTCCTATTATTAAATAATTGTATTCTTTCAATTAGAAGAAATAAAAACAATGTGAATTAGATACATAACAAAATAAAATATTGACATTTTTAATAAATATTGAAAGTGTGGCTAAAGGGTCCTATTTAATGCTAAAATATTGACATTTTAAAAAAATTCCCTATATATTTCTAATTTTACCATGGTTGAAAATCATTTAAACGTTCAAATTTTAATAATAGTCAAAATTCAAATATTTGTTATATAAAAAAAATAGTAGGAAAAACTTATAAATTTCTCTCCCCTAAATTTCTCCTTTCTATTATTAAATAATTGTATTCTTTCAATTAGAACAAATAAAAACAATGTGAATTAGATACATAACAAACTAAAATATTGACATTTTTAATAAATTTAGTACATAAGCGTACCCCTAAAAGAAGAAGGAAATTTTGTATGGGAAAATTTTCAAAACAACAATATTTTAGCTTTTAGTGGGATTCCTTAGCAATATTTTCATTATTCATTAAAAATGTCATTATTTTAGTTTATTAAGGGATTAGTTATGTATTTATTTTATTTTGATTGATTTTAAAGAATACAAATAATTAATAACAGAACAGAGAAAATCATGGAACAAAAAAATTCAAAAAAAGGTAAAAAAGATTTTAAATACAAATCAATTACGTTTTGAAAAGAGCATAAATAGTCATCTTTCCGTCGAGCGTTTTTTTGCTTTCTTCTTAAGAACATAAAAAAAAATGAAAATAATTTAGTTTGTCTTCCGAATCATTCATCTGATAACTTTCAAAACTTCTTCAAGTTGAATACGACATATTTTTGAAACAAAAATTTTCAAAATTGACAACTATAAATTTGTCGCATCCAGTGAACAATCGAAAAACAATTAGGTATTTTTTTCAATTTTTTTATTTGTTTGGATGAGATATTCGTATATGTCGAGTACAAGAGTGTTGTTTTTTTTCCTGATTGAATCGGTGAAATCTTTGTATGCATTGAGATTTATAGCTTTTTTTGGATGTTTTGTATCCAAATTATGATGTATAACGAATGAAATGATTTTATTTTTTTAGTTTAGTAGATGTTTTTTCTGTTTGAATGCATACAATAATTTGTATCCCATTAAGTCAATGTAACTAATCAATCATGAACTATATGTTGAATACAACAATATATGAATACAAAAGTGAGATGACAATACAAAGTTATAAATACAAAGTGAGATTGAATATAAAGTTGTTAATACAAAAGAAATTAAATACTCTCTTCATTAGAAATACAAAGTGACTTTCAAAGTTAAAGTAGGCACATAAAATACAAAACTTG